CTCAAAAATACAAAATAAATACCTTTTTGAGGATGGAGTTTGGCTATGTTCCCAGGCTGATCCCCTTAACTGGAGCAACCCTCCAATCTCAGCCTTCAGAGTATCTGGGACTATGGGCTTGTGTTACCCCCAGCTTAAAAAAAAAAAAATCATTGGGGAAGGACCAAAAGAGAAGTTTCAAGGTTGAGATGAGAAAGAGGAAGAATAGAGCAAGTGTCTCTAAGAATAAAATAAATGAGAGGTAATTTACAGCCTGGGTACAAGAACAGACTTCCCTTAGCTAGATGTTGATCACACATATTACCAGAGCAGTCAGGCATTGTGCGCACAAAGACTCCATTAGCTGTGCTTACCTAAGTATCACTCACACAGATGCATATATTATTCAGATTCATTCCAATGTTACCAATAACAATTGAAATGGCACTAAACCTGCAGATTTGAGTATTATCTGTGTTCAAGCGGGTGCTGTCCCCAGAAAGACAGATATTGCCAACACTAGCTTTAAGATTGTTTATTTAGATGTTGTTATCCATCTGTCAAATTCTACTCACTTTTATTTATTTACTGTCTACACACAAATGCATATTTCCAATGCTTGCTTTAGTAACCCTTCTCCAGCTCTTACCTAGAAAACCACAGACAAATATTCTCAACAAAGACTTAAATATTACCCATATTCATTCAGGTGCTGGGTAGTTTTACTTCACCAGGACAAACGTCTCAACTGAGCTGGACTTTATGTTAGTATGTTGATGCCTTTATGTACTGTGTACATGTACTTGGATATTATTCTACTCTCTCCACTATTACCATCATCTAATGGATATTCCTCCGGCCACATACAGACTTCCAAACAGAATCCCTGCTTCCTGAAGATGTTGTCAGCAGCATGAAATACTGTGTATAGGCATGGATATTACCTTTGCTTATTATTCCAGCATTCCAGCACTTATTTGGATATTTTCTAAACTTAAATGTTACCTATAGTCAATCTGATATTCCCTTTTGACATGTAGATGTTATTCTTCTCCAGCTATCACCCAGAGAGAAATAAAGGTTAGTCTTGCTCATCCTTATAATATTCTCAAAACTAACACACCTCAAAAGCTAACCCATGACCCAGTGGTTACTGTGTTATTACCTACGGGCTCTGGCATGTTATGGCTGCTTTCTTTGTTAGATGTCTCCCATTCTCCCAGCTATTACCCACAATCCGTTGATGATATATTCAGGCGTACCACAGAGACACATGTGATGTCTGTGTGCATGGGTGACCAGATCCAGCACATCAATGAAAAGCAGGACTGGAGGCATCAGCAGTGTTGGTCGTCTGTAGAGTCCTTCCTTAGAAAAACTCATTTTTGTTTTATGTCACAATGACTAGGTCTGGGTGCTCTTGCTTCTCTGCCATTTTCTAGGCAGAGTGAATATGGATCTTCAAGGTCTCAGAAAAAGAACTGAATGGCTCCAGTCTTCAGAGTCTCCTGATCTGATTTCTGCTTTGCTCTCCAGGAAGCTTGTCCCTCAGGGGAGACCAGCAAGGTGCTAGTGTCTGGTTGTTCCCAGGAGCTGCCATCTCTCATCCTTCCATCAACTCAGGTTTTTGGTCCCAAAAAACACTGTGATCGCACAAACACACATGGACACACACACATACACACACTCACACCTCTTAATTCTGATTTGCTTTGTATTTATATACTTAACAATATGTTTTTTAGGCAGGATCTTGCTGTGCAGCCCAAGATGGAACTCTCAGTCCTTGTGCCTCAGCCTCCTCATCATTGGGAGTACACACATTTGCTACCATGCCCAGCTCCACATACATTTTTATATTAATGACCTATTGAGTAGTCATAAACTCAGAGTAATTGAGCAGAAAGCAGTGTTTTCATTTATTTATTTAAAATACACAGCTGGAGTGTTTACCTTATTATTAATATATGCATGCATGTGACACATTTGTTGCAACTGATGAGCCAAAACTGATATCCATTAACTAAATTATGTATTTTGAGTTGTGTAATTCTGTGGTTTTGACAAATATATTATGACATGTGTCCACCAATAAAGCATCAGAATAGTTTTAGTGCCTTAAAAGTAACTTATGCTAGATACCAATGGGCCGGCAGCTCATGCCTGTAATCCTAGCTACTCAAGAAACTGAGATCTGAAGATTTCAGAGTGGTAGAGCACTAGCTTTGAGCACAAAAGCTCAAGGACACTGCCTAGGCTCAGAGTTCAAGACCCAGAACTGGTTAAAAAAAAAGTAAATTATGCTCTACTTATTTAACCTCCCTTCTTCTTTGATGCCTGTGGCTCTGAGATTATTTTAATTATAATTTTTCATGCCTTCTAATTAGTATACAGCAAACAGTTGAAGAAATACCAATGACTGGGAACAAGATAACAAGTAGGAATACTTAGTAAAATAGTGAAATGTTATACAATAGCCAGCCTCTTTTACTGAGACTTTGACCTCCAGTTTTCAGGTGTTCTCACATAACTTGAGAATGTCATCAAAATGAAGATTAGCTTTACCTTTCTGGTCCACCACAATTAGCCAAGCAGAAGAAACACTCTTAGGACACCTCAGCCAAACGGAGGAACGAAAAATCCATTTTTCATGCTTCTAAATGCTATACTAACTTGAGATGTGGGAACTATATCAAGAATTAGTTGAAGGGAGATCCAGAGGAGAATGTGAGACAAATGAGAGCACTAAAGAGATTAAGGAGGAAGGTAGAAGGTAGAAATTGAGACATGGTGAATTTGGGAAGAAAATACAAGAGCAACCAGTGAATTTGGGAAGAGACACAGAGAATACAAGACAAACCATTAGCTTTCTCTGATAGAGATTTCCCCTTCCAGAAATTCTTTATTTACACACACACACACACACACACACACCTCAAATTTGTCACACATAAGCTTTCCATAATCCGTACAGAGACTCAATTTCTAAAGGAGACATAGATCACTAATATATAATAACAAAAGAAATGCATCTAAAATCACAGTTTGACATTGATTATCTAAGTACATGTGTCTCCAAAGATGCAAAAGCAGAAAGAAGAAAGTATACCAGAGCATCATTATAGAAATAAGAGGTGATAAGGAGGGAGAAATCAGATGCATTTCTGTCTTGAAATACAGACTCATCCAAAGTTCATTTAGAAGCATGTGATAACTTTCCCATGTGTCTAGCATTAGGCTGAGTGCTGGGGATACAGTGGAGAATAAGATGGACCTTGTTCCTTTTATCAAGAAGCTCATAGTTTAGTAGAGAAGACAGAGAAGGAAATATATCATAATCATGGAAGCAGGAAGACTGAGATTTGACCAGGAGAAGGAAACAGTATGATGAATGACAGCAATGAGGGAATTGTGCAAGGCAAAGCATTTCAGGGATCTGAGAACTTGGCTTTTGTTCTGATTAAACCCCTTACTAGCTGTGTGGTCCCCCAAAAGTAATGTTACTGTTGGGTACAACTTGGGAATTTCTGATAAATAGTGCTTGCTTGATGTCTGCAACCATTTCCAAACAAATTGCTTATTGTTATGAGAAGACAGTATACCATTTGAGGGCTAAAACAAGAACCAGCCAGCATATGGGGCTAGGAACAAAAAAGCTGTACTTTATGGCCTTTCTTACCCAACAATTTGGGAGGCTCTGCCCCCTGCCTTCTCTGCCTTCAAGGTCCACCTTCCTGAGGCTGAAGCCATAGGTACAGGTGACTCAGACCAGTTCAATTCAATTCAGCCTTGTGTGGGTCTGCATGACTGGGATATGGAAGACCAGAGATGAATCCACTTCGCAATGGACAAAGACATAAGTGAATGGGGTCAACCTCCCAGCTCTTCTGACTTACCCAATAGCACCAATGACTCTGCTGCAAGCTCCCTCAGCTCATTTTATACCCCTCAACCTCACTCCTTATCATGAAGCATGCCAATTATTTGTTTACATAACTGTGATGCCCTGTCCATGGTGAACTGTCAGATGGCAAGGAGTTAGTCCCATTCACCCCTTTGTCTCCCGGCACAAAGAAGAGTCCTCTGTAAATGTTTATAGAGCGTGAATGACTGTTTGGAGATCATTAAAATACAAAACAGAAGGCAAATGAGGCTCTAATAGATGTTTAAGATACACAGACCGGTCAGAGGAAGGGAAGCTTAATACCAAATGAAGTGTCCAGAAAAGCCTTTTAGGGGAGGTAAAAATAGATTTGAGTCTGGACAGATAAAGGATAAATAAGGAATGTACCAGATACAGCAAATCAGCTTGTGATAAATGTGGAAGTAGGGGGTTGGTAAAAGAATTCTGGTCTGAAAACCCACTTGAGCAGCGATGTAGTCACAAATGCACATATTGCACTCAAATAACTGAGTCATCCAATGGCTTAAGGGGGAGCAATGCAGCAATGTGGGCGGAGGTAGGGTAGTTGGGGGCATCTCAATGACAAGCTTAGAGGTTACAGACAGTACAGAGTAGTGAAGAATCTTTTTGTCTATTTGGTATGTGGGTGAGTAGCCATTTGTTTTAGAGAGTACAGACATCATCTGATACGGTTCAAAAGGCTGAGGGTTGTCAATGGTATCAAATAGTCCACAGAGGTCTGATAGAATAGGCCAAGCTTTGGCAGTGATAGATCAGTGATCTGAATCTAAACAGTGATTAGAGACTGCGTGGTGGATTGAGTGTCTGGGCAGACTAAAATAATCCTTCCACGTTTGGCTGTGAGGAGAAGCAAGCATTTGGAACAAACCTTGACTGAAGAGGCTTTCCTAAGGAAGGGCAGAGTTAGGTGAATGAACTAAGCTTTAACAAGTTAGAGTGCTAAAGGACTGAACTTCACCATACAAAGTGGTCTGGTGGGGATATTCTCCAGATGTAGGGATCTGGTTGGGTAATGAGGGTTGGGGATAAGTGAGATTGGGGTCTGATTAAATGGAAGCCAGATTTCCTACTGCCACATCGCTCTTTTTCTGTCCAGAACTGGAGCTGGCTGTTAGAATCACCCTGTATGCAGTGATCTTTCTGATGAGTGTTGGAGGCAACGTGCTCATCATCGTGGTCCTGGGATTGAGCCGCCGCCTGAGAACTGTCACCAATGCCTTCCTGCTCTCCCTGGCAGTCAGTGACCTCCTGCTGGCTGTGGCTTGCATGCCCTTCACTCTCCTTCCCAATCTCATGGGCACATTCATCTTTGGCACAGTCATCTGCAAGGCGGTTTCCTACCTCATGGGTGAGTGAGACCCCTTGGGCCCTCTCCCCTCCTTGAAATCTTTGACACAGGTAGGGATGTTTCCTCATGGTTAGTGGAGGTGGGGGGGGGGTGGAGGACAGGTGAAGAAATCACAGTAGTGAATATGTAATGCAACTTTTCCAAGGTGACCCATTCATCTTCCCTCCCTTAGGGGTGTCTGTGAGCGTGTCTACACTAAGCCTTGTGGCCATCGCCCTGGAGCGGTACAGTGCCATCTGCCGACCACTGCAAGCACGGGTGTGGCAGACACGTTCCCATGCAGCTCGTGTGATCTTAGCCACTTGGCTGCTGTCTGGATTGCTCATGGTACCCTACCCTGTATACACTGCTGTGCAGCCCGTGGGACCTCGTATACTGCAGTGTGTGCATCGCTGGCCCAGTGCCAGGGTCCGCCAGACCTGGTAAGGACCCTCATGATCTTCTCCATCTCCATCTCCATCTCCATCAAATGCTTAATACCCATTCCCCAGAACAGTCTACCAGCTGCTCCAAGAATTACCCCCCAACGATTCCTATTCTGCACTCACCACCGTGGAATTCCAGTTTGGGAACCCTTCCCCAGGTATTCTCATGCCCTGGGCAATGGCATCCCCAAATTCCATTCCTAGTTCAGCTCCTTGGCTCTTCCTCCCTTTGGAAGCATGGCTGGACCTGCGTGGTGTGTTTGTGTTCTGTTTCCAGGTCTGTTCTGCTGCTCCTGCTCTTATTCTTTGTGCCGGGTGTGGTTATGGCTGTCGCCTATGGGCTTATCTCCCGAGAGCTCTACTTAGGGCTTCGCTTCGACAGTGAAAGTGACAGCGAAAGCCGTGTCCGGATCCAAGGAGGACTGCCAGGTGGAGCTGCACCAGGTGAGTGCAATCCAAGATGATCTGAGCTTGGGACTCTACTGAAATGAATGTGGAAAGAAGGCTGGACCTGGGGTTAAGGCTGGGGCAGGTGTCAGGTGGGGGTTGGGATGTAAGTTAAGAAGGCTGATGCCCTGATCCTGAATCCTCTGTGCCCAGGTCTTGTCCACCAAAACGGGCGGAGCAAACCCGAGACTGGCTTGGCTGGTGAGGAGAGTGATGGCTGCTATGTACAACTTCCACGTTCCCGGCCTGCCTTGGAGCTGACAGCACTGACAGCCACCACTTCTGGGCCAGGAACTGGCCCTCGACCAACCCAGGCCAAGCTGTTGGCTAAGAAGCGTGTGGTGCGAATGTTGCTGGTGATTGTTGTGCTTTTTTTCCTGTGTTGGTTGCCGGTATACAGCGCCAACACATGGCGTGCCTTTGATGGCCCAGGTGCACACCGGGCACTCTCAGGAGCCCCCATCTCTTTCATCCATTTGCTGAGTTACGCCTCAGCCTGCGTAAACCCTCTGGTCTACTGCTTCATGCACCGCCGCTTTCGCCAGGCCTGCTTAGAAACATGTGCCCGCTGCTGTCCTAGGCCCCCACGAGCTCGCCCCAGGCCTCTTCCAGACGAGGACCCACCCACCCCCTCCATTGCTTCATTGTCCAGGCTGAGCTACACCACCATCAGCACACTGGGGCCTGGCTGAGGGCTGGGGGAATGGAGGAGGAGGCAGGACAGACCATCCCTACCAGCACAGACCCATTCAGACACACCAGAAACACAAACTACATCTGACACCCAATAGCACGGATAAATCCCAGCAGACAGAAAAAGGTAGCTTGAGGAAACAAGAATGGAGCCTAGCACAGAAAAGGAGACACACTTCCATGGTGAAACTGAGGTCCTACCCTGAGAAATTCTGCACTGACCTTGGCCAGACATACACAGCATCCCTAGCAGTGAATTCTCTGGATACAGTAGGAGTTCTGGCAAAAGCTGACCTGTTCCTCATACTTGCTCATACATTAACGGCACTGATTTTTTTTTAGGGGCTATGGAGCCTGCCACAGGACTCACTCAGGATGTCCCCAGTTTGATCTCACTCTGCCTTGCCAGCTCTGAAAATAAACACAGGCCTAATGTCACACCTATCTGACCAACAAGCTGTTTAGCACTGAAAAGTCCCTTCAACTCTTCCTAGTTAAAGACTGTTGCCCTGCTTACTCCTCCCTCATCAGACCTCTTCAAAAATAAGAATAAATAACTTGGCTTCTTTCTGGACTTCTTTTCTGGACTTTTCTTGGGTGGGGAGAAGTGAGATGGTATGGGATTTTATGAGGTTCTTCCTTATAGAATTTGTACCATGACTGTATATGAAACCCTTCCAGAAAGCCAACGTAGAAGCCAAATGGAGTGGGTGTTTTCTCTCTGGTTGTCATGCTGGATCTTCCCACACTCCAATGCCATTGTAGCTGGAGGTGGGAGTGGTAGGTGGGATATCCAAGACGTTTTCCCATATGGTGGCATTGGTAAAGTATTATATTAATGGATAATTATTAAAATGTTGATGAAAAGATAAAAGAAACACTACATAAAAAGACTTGGATTCTTCAATGTGTATATGAAATACCAGATACAGACTGTGACAGCTACGTCGAGGTTAATTTAAGAGTGGAACATTTCATTAAAAACTTGCTCTTCTGAAGTGTTTTTCTCTACATCATACAAATTAGGCCATGAAGCAGCTCAGTTGCTCAGTAGAGTCAGTGGGGACTCGGTGCTCTTTCCATCCTATAAGTGCCATTTGTAGTGTCACCATGATGTCGCTCATGGTTATCCAGGTGGTGGCAATAGCTGCATTGATGCATCAAATTTCTTGCATCCAAGTACAAAATGATGGAATTGAGCCTGTCTCACAATTCTGCGCTCATCTTCCATCTCCCACACTCAACTGGCTCCCTGGCCAGTCTTCTGGGACAAAGTAGCTATGGCTGTAGTTGTAAAGCTGACTGAGAAATTGAATAAATTGATTTTACTTTCCATCCAAGGTCCCTTTTCTTTCAGGAAGAAGATAGAGGGAAAGCTTGCTGTGTTTTGTATGCACTCTTGTAATTTTGCTGTAGCCATGTACTAGATTTATAGTGCCTCAAATGTTCTTCTTTGGTAATTTAAGAAATGCAGATTCATTGTAGAGAATGACAAAGTAATAAGGTGTTTTGCTTAAATCTTCTAGTTAAGTTAGATTTTTATTCACTAGCTTAAGTCCAATATGATCAATAACCTTTAGTTCAAAGAACCTATTTGCAGAAAGAACAAAGAACCAAAGATAGGAAATTCCTCAAGTATGTCTTTAAAATAATCTTCTTTACTATGCCTAGTTCTAGATTATGCTTGCTTTGTAGACTTTTATCTAGGCTCCTTGATTTTTTTTACTCACTTGAACCCAGAAGACTTGCTTCTGTCTGTTGATAAAATAGAAGAAAGGAAGATTGATCATAGGTTGCTTCAGAAATGAGACTATCTTTGTCGCATCATTAGCTCTGCTTGGAAAATATTGCAGACCTTACAGGAATTTAAAATTGGGGTCCTGTAGGATAGATGCCAGCTCCCTTTTCTACCTTGTTTTTAACCCCATAGTTTTTTCTTCATGTGCCTTGGTACTTAATCCAGAAGATAAAAGGGAAGTGTAGCAGGGGGAGAAGATAATATGACCTGAGTATGATCAGCTTAGTGTTTGAATCTGCAAAGAGGAACATGCCATTCATGTAAAATTGCCATAGACCAAGTACTAGGGGAACCTGAGCTATTTGAGGTGTCATTTGAAAGAGTGTTCATGGTCCCTGAAGACCTGTAATTCTTTTTCAACTATTTTAATGAAGAGACTTGTAGAGAGGAAGGAAGTAATTTTGGTAGCAACTATATGCTAAAACATGGCACTTAGCGTATGAATGAATGAAGTTTTATTACAAAAACGGGATTATCCTAGCTACATTTATTGAATATATTTTTGTGCCATACACTGTGCTTAGAAGAAAAATGTCACATTCCTTACCTTTTATATTGGTTCCCAAACCATTCCTGCTGTAATATTGATACAATTGATTATTATTTTATTGTTTTCCCAACAAAAGTTCTATACGAGATATAATGCTTGTATTCTTGTCAAAAAGATAAATAGTACTATTTAGAACTAGAATATGAAACTAAAACAAAAACTTGCTCTTCTGCAATGTCAGAACCTGGATACAGTTCTGCCAAATAGAAACACCCTTACTGGATACAACAACAAAGAGGTCTGGAGGGTAGGGGAGGGGCTGGAGGGGGTGGTGTGACTGGGTAGGAGTCTCAGACCCAAGCTTCCCATTTGACTATAAAACTGATCTAAGGCTAACTAAGAGTGTGGTTCAAAAAGTAGAGTACCTGCTTAGCGAGCAGGAAGCCCTAAGTTCAAAGCCCCAGTACCACATACAAGAAAAGAATACTTATCTTGCCCCCAAAGGTGGTAGAGACCAGGAAAGCTACCTCTCCAAAAGGTAAACAAATAGAGTCATGGTACTCAGTAGATATAATATGGAAAATGAACTATGCAACTTGTGGGCAGAGACAGGAGGAGGAAATTGGGGGAAAGCAAAGGAAGGGGTGACATTGTACTCATTACCTGACATAAAACTGTCACCCCTCTTTATAATAACAATTAAATTATATATTTTAAAAATCTCCTTCACACAGCCACATTGACAGAGAAGAGCAAGAGGAAGCAGACATAGATAATCAGAGACATAATGTTGAGAAAGTAGCCTTTGACACTTCATCTAGTAACAGATAGGAGAAACACCCTAAGGAAAGAAAGTTGTCATGTTCACACAATAAGTTAGAGCAAAATAGAAAGAATCATATGACATAGACACCGAGTTAGATATGAGGAGGAAGCCACACCCATGAGGGGAAAAGTCCCAGTTTTGTGAAATTCGAAGTCTACAAAATTTTGGTGCCCTTATTTTAAAAAAAAAATTGGAAAACAAAATTAAAAAATACAGAATTACTAGGATCTTGACCAGGGTTTCAGAAATGCAAATCAGGATCCTTGAAATATAACCCTCATTAGCTTCACACCAACATGCCTCCAAAATCCACCCACCACCTACTCTGGAGAAAGGCTAGATGGAGTAAAGAATAGGGAAACCAGAGAATGAGTCTTCTGTTTACCAGTTCTGGTGTTGTCCGCATCCATCATTTCTATAGGATTCTAGGCTGCAAGAGGCTGGGAAAAGGAAGAAAAGAAGGGAGAAGGCGTTCCAAGCTGTCAACCTAAGACAGTACTGGTTAAAAATAGAATCCCAGCTGGTCTCAGAAACTGAAGGGAGGTAGTTGGCCTTACTCTGTCTTGCTAGCTCTCTGTGGGGCAGCGCCTTGCACATGGGCTCCCAAGCATACCCAAGGCTCCCTTTCTAAAAGAATGATGAAGGCTGCCCCAGTATTAGCACTTCTGGTAAGGCCTAACTCCTGATGACTACCCAGAGGCAGCAGGAGCTGCACATGTTGTAGCCTTTGAACTGGAGGACACCTCTAACTCTATCACTCACTCTCTGGCCCATCCAAATGCCAGATGTGGAAGCCTGGGCTTCTTCCATCTGTTTTTCATTTCTTAAAACCTGACGTAGTATGTCAGCTTTGGATTTATTCGTGCTTATTAACCCTGGAAAGCTCATGTGCTTGTACAATGTTTATGGGCTTTCTCTCTTTAAGCAATTGTTTTTGCTCCTGATTTTCTCCTCTTGGGCTTGGAACAGGATGGTGTAGTCAGAAGATGGTGGAGGCAGGTGATGGAGGCGATCTAGTGCCCCCTGGGGCTCTATAACAGGTGTTTTGTATACATGAATCCATTTCTTTTTTCAGGACACATCCACAGAACATTCTTCTTCTTTCAGCAGGTAAGGAACATAAAGCTGAGGAAGCTTAAGGTAGTTAAGTAAGTTCTTGGAACCAGAATAGAGCCTGCAGGTATATGACTCCAAAGCCTCTTCTCTTTCTATTGAGTGTGATGCTTTCTTTCAGTCTTAAAGACCTGGGCCCTGTCTTGCCTTCCATACCTTTGAAAAAGTTATACAACTCTGGACAAGTTATCTTAGTGAGTTGCTATCTCAGCTGTAAAATGGAAGCCATCACATTATTTTCATATTGTCATTTTGAAAGTTGCTCTTGTCATTACACTGGGGATACAGCATCAGAAGGGCAAGACTGGAGATTACTTCAAGACCAGGAAGAAGCAACACTAGAGAACAAGGTCTTTTGCAGATAGACAGTGGATCTGAACCATCTCCCAAAGGCTTAGCTTCCAGCTTGGTGATATTGGGAGGTGATAGGAAGTTTAATAAGCCACGAGTAGGAGGCCTTTAGGTCATTGAGGGCATACCCTTGCAGGGGATATTGAGATTCCAGACCCTCCTCTTTTCTCTTCCTTTCTTCATGAGGTGACCAGCTTTGCTCTGCCATGTATATGACAGAGCCACACCAGCCTAAAAGCAGTAAGGTCCTTCAATCATAGATCAAAACCTCCACAACTCTGAGCCAAAACATGAGCTTCCTTTGAGCTGATTATCTCAGATATTTTATTATGGCTAACAGAAAGCTAACTAACACAGTCAGACACCCACAACTGAGAGGGACAAAACTATGAGTTTAAGAAGAGGTTCAAGGCCTGCAATACAGTGATAATAGAAAGTAAAGTCAGGTTTTGAACCCAAGTGTGTCTGACTCCAGAGCCCGTGTGTGTGTGTGTGTGTGTGTGTGTGTGTGTGTGTGTGTGTGTGTGGTGTGTGTGTTTTATTCATATCCTGACTCTGATTTCCCATAGTGTGTGTGTGTGTGTGTGTGTGTGTGTGGTGTGTGTGTTTTATTCATATCCATAGGGATTATTCAGGGCTGGAGAGGAATGAACTAGTTGGTAGCACCTGGAAATCATATAGGACCCCTTCCAGGGCTCCAAGTAGAGAGCAGACATTAAGTCTATAGCCCTGTAGGTATGGATCACTCAGTGAGCCCTACTTCTAACATCCCCACCACTGCAAGGAAGTCCTTGGCTATCTTCTCTAAAGCAAAAGCCGGTTAGGAGTCCTGGAAATCTCACTACCCCCAAATTCCCAGGTTATATGAGGACAAACCAAAGAAAGGAGTGTACCTCTAGTGAATATGAATGTGATTCACCTTGAGACCGAAGCTGGTTCAGCCAAGAGTCTCAGCTAATCATACACTCTACTGACTCGTGTGGAGTTAATGACATTTATAGATTGTCCCTTTGTCTCTAGGAGAGGATAGATGGAAGGGAAGGAGAGAAAGTAAAGTAGTGAGCAAGAAAGCAGGTCTCATTTGATATGTAAGCATCATTGCTGAAACACAATACCTAGAAGTGGGGCCCTCCTGGAAACCATAGAAAC